GCTAGTTTTGTTAATTTTTTTATAAAGATGGAGGTCTCATTAAGTTGCACAGGCTGGTCTTGGACTCTGGGTTCAAGCAAACCTCAGCCGCTCCAAGTGGTGGTATTACAAACATGAGCCACACAGCACCTGGCCCTATCTCTTTTTTATGATGTAGGAAGAGAGATCATCTGCTTACAGTAAGAGAAGAGGAGTTAATCAGAGAAAGACAGTCTGGTAGCCAAGCAATACTGGGGATCTATGTGAGGTTGATGACCATAAATTCATAGCAGACGCAATCAGCCCTACTGTGTAACTTTCTTCGGCAAAAATAGTTTCTTAATTCCTACTCAAGCAAAGGCTTTCTGTTATTTTTACTACTTTACTTATCATATATTGCTATCAGAAAATATGAAAACAGGCCAAGAGCAGTGGCTTACACCTATAATCTCAGTGATTTGGGAAGCCAAAGCGGGATGACTGCTTGAGGCCAGAAGTTCAAGACAGCCTGGGCAATATAGTGTGACCCTGTCTCTACAAATAATTTGTTAAAAAAAAAAATATATATATATATATATGTATGTATGTGTGTATGTGTGTGTATCTACATATGAGAGAACACACTGAAAGTTTAATACTTTTAGAAGACAAGGCTAAATTTTCTATTTTACCTTGAAAAAATATTCTATTTTTTAGATTAAGGGTGTATTATCTATGGAAAACTGAACTCTAGTACATGTGAAGAATATGAAGAATATTTTTCTTTTCCTACCTCCTTTCCATACATCCCTAATCTTCACCTATCTCCTTTATGCATAAACCTAGAGACCAGACTTCTCTATTGAAGAACTGATCTCTTTGAAAAAAATTTTACTTTTTAGGTATATAAAGAATATATTATTTATAGATACACAAATTCTAATACGTGTAAAAGAAATGAGTTTCTTTTTCCCACTCCCTTTCCATCCATCCTTAATTTTCACATGCCCGTCTTCACTGCCTGTATTCAAATATAAACCTAGAGTAGAGATTTTCATTTTGAAGAATAATTTTTAATGTATTTCCAAAAAGTATGCTTTAGTAAGGCAGATGAATAATTGAAATGGACGCCACCAGTAAAATCAAAAACATAGCTAGCATAATTAATCTGAAATCTATAAGCCATTTCAGAATTTTTTAAAAAGGGAGGTAGGTAGGCCAGGCACAGTAGATTACCTGAGGTCAAGACTTCAAGACCAGCCTAACCAACATGGAGAAACCCCATCTCTACCAAAAATACAAAATTAGCCAAGTGTTGTGGCACATGCCTGTATCCCAGCTACCTGGAAGGCTGAGGCAGAAGAATCACTTGAACCCGGGAGGTGGATGTTGTGGTGAGCTGAGATCACGCCATTGCACTCCAGCCTGGGCAACAAGAGCAAAATTCCATCTCAAAAAAAAAAAAAAAAAAAAAAAAAAAAAGAGAGAAAAAGAAAAAGGGCAGGAAGGCAGGTAGGAACACTTACCATTAAATAAAAACTCTAATCGCTTAGCATCCATTAGAGGGCACTATATATGAAATTACACAGTCTAATTTCATATAGACTGTAAAAGATAGCTCTTAAATGACAGCTTTAAAAATTATGGTGATTAAATCACATTTTTACTCCCAATTGGACCAAATACAATCTCAAAATTTATCCTAAGTACCAATCTTTGATAAAAATTGAGAGCCCAAGAAAACTTTTGACTTGACAATCAAATGGCAAAATCATTCCAATAAAAAAGTCTTGGCCGGGCATGGTGGCTCACGCCTGTAATCCCAACACTGTGGGAGGCTGAAGGGGGTGGATCACTTGAAGTCAGATGTTTGAGACCAGCTTGGCCAACACGGCAAAACCCCGTCTCTACTAAAAATACAAAAATTAGCTGGGCATGATGGCATATGCCTGTAATCCCAGCTACTCAGGAGGCTAAGGCATGAGAGTCACTTGAACCAGAAGTGGAGGTTGCAGTGAGCAGAGATAGCGCCACTGTCCTCCTGCTTAGGCACCAAAGTATCACTCTTGTCTCACACACACACACACACAAAATGTCTTAGGCAGTGATCCTAAATTATGATAATCATAGGCTTAAACCAAAATCAAGTTTTGTGTTATACTTTTTACCATATTTATACATTGGTGAATGTCAAATAACAATGTGTTCATGGTATACACAGCCTAAAGTGATTTTATTTTTTACAGTATCTAACAAAAATATTTTTTAGAATATCTAACCAGAATATCTAACCTGGCCCACAAGGGCCACGTACTGTGGCTCACACCTATAATCCTAGCACTTTGGGAAACCAATGCAGAAGGATTACTCGAGGCCAGGCATTTGAAACCAGCATGGGCAACACAGTAAGACCCCATATCTACAAAAAAAAAATACTTTTATTAATAAGCTGGGTGTGGTGGTATGCACCTATAGTTCTAGCTACTCAGGATCTTGACATGTGAGGACTGCTTGAGCCCAGGTGTTCAAGATTACAGTGAGCTATGATCGTCCTACTGCATTCCAACCTAGGTGACGGAGTGAGACCAGGTTTCTAAAGAAAACAGTTCCATTATATAATAATATGTTAAAGGCTGGGTGCGATGGCTCACACCTGTAATCCCAGCACTTTGGGAGGCCAAGGTGAGTGGATCACCTGAGGTCAGGCATTTGAGACCAGCCTGGCCAACATGGTAAAACCCCATCTTTACTAAAAGTACAAAAATTAGGAGGGCTTGGTGGCCCATATCTGTAATCCCAGCTACTCAGGAGGCTGAGGCAGGAGAATCGCTTGAACCCACGGGGCGGAGGTTGCAGTAAGCCAAAATTGCACCACTGCCTGGGTGACAGAGCAGGACTCTGCAAAGTCCAACTGGGTACTAGGTGGTATTTTGTCTCTTCCTGGTCCCTAGGATTAATGTTCTACTTTCTATTTCCATCTAATTGCCACATCATCCTTTATTTTGAATAAATTCCTAATTCTCCCTGCCTCAGTCTTTCTACCCCTCTAATTCATTGTTTTCACTTTTCCTAAAGCTATTGCTATGGAACAGAAATGTGATCATGTCAGCCTTTGTTTAAATAAATACCTCTGATGTCTTCTCATTACATGGGAAGAAGTCCAGACTCCTTGGCCTGACATCTAAGACTTTTTAGTCTGGATCTGTCCTGTCCGGTTCAAGCCATAGCTTTTATATTATTCCATACCTACCCTTCAGATCAATTCTAATTTCCCAAACATGGCATATACACCCAAACTTCTGGGTTTTAGTTTCAGTGCATGCCGTTTCCTCTGCTTAGAACACCCTTCATTCATAGACTATTTTTAACTGACAAATTTCTGCCCATCCTACTATAGGACTATAGTTATCCAAAACAGATTCTCACATAAACAAATCACCTGAATTTACACTGAAGGTGATATTACAACTAGAAAGGTTATTTTTTGAATAAATGGTGCTGGGTTAATTACTATGTATTATGAAAATATACTTGTAAGACATGAAACTGATAAAGGTCCTTTATGCAAAACATATTTAAATATTCATATAAACCAATAAGAAAAGACAGAAAACCTAATAGAAAAGAGGGAAAAAAACCAGGCTTGGGTAGTTAATTCACAAAAGAGAGTATCTAAATATAAACATATAATAAACATATGATGAACAATAAACACACAGAGAGGTGTTCGACTTAGAGAAATGCAAAATAAAACAATGAGAGGCCACTACCAACTCACTAAAAAAGTTTAAACAATTATTTTTTAAAGACATTATCAAAAGTTGGCGAGGAGAACAACGAGAACTATTGTATGCTAGTGATGGAAGTTTAAATTGGTACAACCACTTTGGAAGCTGGTGACAGTATCTAGGGAAGCAGAACATATGCATACAATATGATGCAACAATTCCACTCCTAAGTAAGCACTCAACAGAAATGCTTACATCTGTTAACCAAAAAACATGCACAGGAATCGTGACAGAAGCACTATTTGGTAATAGCCAAAAACTGAAAACAATCAGAATGTCCATCAATAGGAGAATCAAGTACAGTACACTCATAAACGGAATACTGTGCAACAAAGAAAATGAATTGCCCATAATTACATTCAAAAGTAGGGCTGAAACTCACAAACATAACACTTAACAAAAGAAGCCAGCCACAAAAATAATACATACTGTGTAACTTCTATATGTACTACAATACATGTGTGTTATATATATATAAATTTTGTGTAAGTATATAATTCTATATATTTACATAAAATATATTTTAATGTAATTACATATTCATGATTACATAAAGCTCAGAAATTTAAATAAGGGTAATCAGAAAGAGAATACTACACATTTAAAAAATAAGTAAGAAAATATATGTGAATGAAGATTAAAAAAGACCCAGATATCAAAACATGCTATAAAAATAGTATGATCAGAACAGTGTCATATATATGGGTAAAACTACTCTCTGGCATCAGAAGGCAGAGATTATGGCTACAGTTGAGGAGGTTTAGGAAGTGAGGCATACTAAGTAATAGAAAGAGAACAGAGGGGTGTTTCTGGGATTTCTGAAATTTTGTTTTATTGAATCAGGTACTGGTTACAGGTATGTTAACAATTCAAAAATTTATTGAGCTGTACAATTATGGTTTGTGTACTTCTCTGTATATCTAGTATATATTAACATATGTTTATCCAGTACCTATCTAGTATATCTATATTTCTAGTACATATTTATACATCTAGCAAGTATCAATAACATTCACCAGAAATAAAATATAATATAACTTAAATCCTATTCTAATATGCATCCTATTGAATCCATCTTAAGGGTTCCAATAAACCTTTAAGAATGGAAAATAATAGAATTGAGATGGCAACATAATAAAATTTAGCTATTCCAAAGTCAAATATAAAAATTAATTTGAAAATGTTTACACCCAGAAAAATCAAACAAGCAGATCTAATTGATAGTGGAGTAAGTATAGGAGAACAAAAACTTACTAAGGAAGCTCTACGAGACCTTCGACTCATTGGTTGGTCAAATGGTGGACTGTTTATCTGCAACTTTTCGAGATATCCATCAGGTATTCTGATGTCTGCAGGCAGCGATAACCGCTTATTTAAATCCTTAAAAAAAAAAAAAGATATTCAAAAATAGAAAAGACATGGGCATTTGACTTTTGAATTCACAGGCTCTAACATATTATTTCTTAGTGATAAGTAACTGCGATAACTAAGTTTTATGTAATATACTCATGGCAAAAACATTTACTATAAGCAAAAATATAGAGCAAAGTGTTATAAAAATGGAATTTTGCAACCCCAGTAATTTTTGAGTCCTTTCACTGGTAAGTTCAACTTGGAATTTACTTTGAAAATATTATACCATATAATAAGAATAGGCAAAGGCTACCTACAAACTGTGACCAGTTTAAATAACTAACCAAGTAGATATTATATGATCTTGTCTCCAACATGAGGAAAGAGAATTAAAATATTTATTATTGGTATATTAATGGGATTTCTACTTTATTTAATTATACTGTGTGAGCTGGGAGAAACTTGAAAAGAATCTTGCCTATATCATCACATCAAGAAAGTTAAGCCCTAAAAAAACAAATTCCTCCTATTCATAATAGCAGCCAAATCATGAAACGGAATGGAGATGTATAGGAACTGCATAGTTACTGAGAAATCTAAGACTTAAGTATAAAAACATAGAATGCTACCAAATGGTAAGAATAAGTAACGAAAAGATACTGGTCCTCCCTATATTAATTTTATAGTTTATATAACCACAAAGAAATCACAATAAGCTTATTCTTGGACAAAACAAAATCCCTAAAATGTACTGATAATAACAGAAAAAAAATTCAAAAACATTCTAAAATAAGAAAGAGTGTTGTATGTGTACATGGGGGAGGGATAAAGAAAGAAGTCTTTCCAGATATTAAAATACACAATAGGCCCGGCGCAGTGGCTCAAGTTTGTAATCCTAGCACTTTGGGAAACCAACGTAGGGAAACCCTGTCTCTACAAAAAAAAAAAAAAAATTAGCTGGGTGTGGCGGTCTGTACTGTAGTCCCAGCTACTTGGGGGACTGAGGTAGGAGGATCACTTGAGCCCAGGAAGTTGATGCTGTGGTGAGCTGAGATACTACCACTGTACTCCAGCCTGGGTAAGAGAGTGAGACCCTGACTCATAAAACAGAAAAAATATATACCATAAAAATAATATAATTTAGAGCATGCCTCCTCAGGAGGGGAAAACAAATTACAGCTCAATGAAGGATAGGAAACTCCAGATTTAGACCCTAATACTAAATAAAACAAATGATTTTTAAAAAGCATATATAAAGTGAAGAAAAGTAAGAAATATTTTCATTATTATTGTGTCATATCAAGTTGATTTAAACAATTAAAAATGTTAATTTGTCATTTAGAAAACTGACCGTTTTCCTTAACTAAGAAGCAATCCTTTTATAACAAAAATATAATCAACCAATAGGAGAGATACCCTAATCATCATCTCAACAGCACCAAAAAATCAACAATACTTTTATTTCAAAATATGTTCAATTTTTTTTTTTTTTTTTTGCAGAAAACTATTTTAGTTTTACAATACATACTGAAGTAACAGTTCTAATCCACTTATGCCCTCAGGTTATACCATAATGCTTACAAAGAAAAGAAAATGAATTCTTCATTCTTTTACATGGAGAAATAAATGTGCCTCAGAGATTAGTAGCTGTAGTGAACCACAAAGGAAAGGATAACCACATTTATAATATAATGCAAGAAAAAAAAAAGCTGTTTATTTTATTTATACCTCTTAAAATTTGAAATAGAGAAAATAAAATGTTTAATTACCCAGATGAATCTCAAAAATATAATTAAAATCATATTTTCTGAAAAGAAGACATTGCTAATGTATCATTCTATCTCCAGAAGTTCTGAAGATTCACTTCTCCTTAATGGAGAACCTAAAATAATGTTTCACAAAACAATTTAAAAATAAATAAAATGTTTCACAGGATGAGAACAATTATAACTACTATATACCTATCTTGGGATAAAAATTAGAAAAGATAAAATATTCATAGACTACAATTTATGAATGCAAAGAAATAACTTTTCTTACAAGTGTCACATGTCTTCATGAAAACTTTTAAATGGGCATTTACTTCGCTTGATATGTATGTGTATTTATTTGCATACACCAACATACATAAACACAAGTATATTTGTATTTTTTAAATGATTACCTCCATTGAGATCCGTCTATGTATACGATTTCTGAGACAAACACCTGTAGGTGACTGGACTTCATCAGATGATGTCCCAGAAGCTTGGTCACTCTCACCATCTGATCCCATTTTTAGATTTTCATGAACAATATCTATGTTAAAAAATTAGACATTAAAGGAGATACATTATATTCTAATATATCAATAATTTATTATCACTACAGGTAAAATACAGAAGGCTAACACATAAAAATCACAGCATAAAAAGTCATTTACATTCTGGGTGCCACAGGTATGCAGTTAATAGATGAAAACATGACTCAAATATCTTAAAAACAGTAGTGTGAAATCCTTTTACACTTCCAAATTATGAAAAAAATTAACATTCAAGTTATCAAAAGTTCAGTAATAAAATTCTTATAAATTACAAATAATATCTCTGAGAATGAGTCAGTTCTCTCATTTTCTAGATCTAGGAACTGAGACTTGAAAGGTTAAATGACTTTCAAAAGGTCACAAAGCTGAGACACAGAGCTGGAAAAGAAACCTGGTCATTTGCCTCTTATTTAGTATTCTTTCCATTAAATAACATGTCACTGGGTCTACTGTCAAATGGAGCTAATTCTTTGAATATTCTTTTAAACATCTCTTAAAAGCTGCTAATGCAGTTTTTCTTCCCTACACCCCAAGTGTTAAAAATAAAACAATCAAAAATTACTCACTGAATATCTACTTTGTACCAGAACTACAAAAACAAGTTTATGATTTTGAAATACTTGAAAATCTGTACAGAGCGAAAATATATTACAATAAAGGTGGGTCATGGTATGTTTAACAGACATAAAAGTTAAATGGAAGTGGGGGGGTCGGGCGCGGTGGCTCAAGCCTGTAATCCCAGCATTTTGGGAGGCCAAGGCGGGTTGATCACAAGGTCAAGAGATCGAGACCATCCTGGTCAACATGGTGAAACCCCGTCTCTACTAAAAATACAAAAAATTAGCTGGGCATGGTGATGCGTGCCTGTAATCCCAGCTACTCAGGAGGCTGAGGCAGGAGAATGGCCTGAACCCAGGAGGCGGAGGTTGCGGCCATTGCACTCCAGCCTGGGTAACATGAGGGAAACTCCGTCTCAAAAAAAAAAGAAAAAAGAAAAAAGAAAAAGGAAGTAGGGGGAGGAAGATAAATGCCATCTGAAAATATTAAAAACAAACCTGTATATGGGATTTTTTTTTTTTTTTGAGACAAGGTCTTACTCTATTGCCCAAGCTGGAGTGCAATGGTGCAATCATGGCTCACTGCAGCCTCTACTTCCCGGGCTCAAGCAATCCTCCTGCCTCAGCCTCCCAAGTAGCTGGGAGTACAGGCACCCACCAGACCTGTTTTTGTTGTTTACAGTTTTGTCATGTTGTTCAGGCTCATCTTGAACTCCTAGTTATTTGTGCCTAGTGTTCCATTCTTAAAATGCTAAGAATGTGGGAGTTATTTCTATTCTACTGCTCAAGGTCATCACCAAGCTATGATTGCAAAAATTCAAAAAAATGGCAACTTTAGGCATAAACAGGTTAAGTAATCCGCCCACCATGGCTTCCCAAAGTGCCGGGACTGATTACAGGCATGAGCCACCACACCCAGCTATGTTGTACACTTACATACCTGCTTACATATCTGCATTTGTCAGTTATTCTCTAATAACCTAGCAAGAAGAGTGTACTAGAAACAAATGCTAGTTCTCTAGAACTCCTTCCTTGCCACTATGACTTTCTATACACGTATTCATCTTCCAAAAAGAACCATGTTGTTTCATGCTGCAGTGCTTTAACACTTTTTCCTCATTTTTACAAGATGCCTTTCCCCATTTTGTCAACCTTATGAGCTCAGGCTTAGTCTTCAAAACTATGCTCATGTGTCATCACTCAGTTGAAGTCTTTTCTAATCTCAGACACAGTTGACTACTGTGCCCCCACCCACTGAACTGAAGAACATTTTTTGGTGCATGTGATTTTATAAGATCCTTGAGGACAGGTTTTAGCTTATTCACTTTGCTATTTCCAGAACTTAACCAACTGACTGGTACTTAGAAGGTGTTTAACAAACACTCAAGATAATTGCATATTAACAAACAATCAAGGAATGGACTATAACTAGATCTCTTTTTCAAATGAAGTTATATGAAATGTCAATGTGTGAGACCACTGAAAATAGTATTTTATGTAAGTATAAATGTTAACTTGTAATAATATTTACATATAAAATTATGAGAACTGCTTAGATTAAGGAGAAATTTGAACTCAAGGGTCTCATATCAACTCTATCTTAGAACTCACTTTATGTCTGTATTTTTGTCTTGGTTAACTCAATACTGAGAAAATTCCAATTCATATTCATAAGCAGTTTGCAAATGGTAATGGTTTTTAATAGTTCAATGTGTAATCTAAGAAAACACTTCAGTTATGTTGAGATTTCTGGAGAAATTTTATGGTGATAGGTGAACAAAAAGTTAATTTGGCAGCAAAAATAACGCACCAGTGACTGATTCCTAACCTGTTAAAATTTGATATATAACACAAGAAGAGGTCACATATTCTTTTCTGCCACACTTTTAAAATGTTAAAAATAATTTAATCATGACTTCCATTTCTAGTGAGATATGAAAATCTTGCTTTCCTCAAGAAAATGTTGACTGAAGTATTTTAAAATATACAGCTGAGTGTACAAGAATGTATGGATAATTCCTAGAAAGTAAAAACGAAGAGAGAACGAAAACTCAAAGCTGTTATACATAAATTTACTCTATCATTGTCTTGGGAGAGGTTGCTGATCTTGATGAGATGGTCCCTGGGTTTACCTTCCACACTGGGATAAAAGATGAAGCCCTGGGTGTCTGAGTTACAAGTAAGACCTTCTCACAGAAAGGCCCAACTCCCAAAGTGCTATACTTTTGAGACTTCAAGGGTACACTTAAAAATAAAATCTGTCCTGTTCCATAAGGAACTGGACGACAAAGAAAGCTTACTAATCTCAGACTATGAATAAACACTTGAGTACCATCTGACCCAAACAAGAAATTACTCACGTCATTAACAAACCAGTGTAGTTCTGACATGATTACCAGTTATTTTCATTTCCATCAAGACAAACGTGAAACAATGAAGGCTTGTCAGAACTTTACTCATCTGTTGGGGATGGGGGGCATGATGTCTTTGCTAATCAGGTAATGCAACAGCTGCAGACACAATATGTTTTTTTCCCCCAGCACAATATTCTTTTAAATTTAATCTGCATTACTATCATTTTCAATATCACTTTTTTTTTTTTTTGTCCGAGACAGAGTTTTGCAACCTGCAAACTCTGCCTCCTTGGTTTAAGCGATTCTCCTGTCTCAGCCTCCAAGTAGCTGGGATTACAGGCATGTGCCACCACGCCAGGCTAATTTTTTGTATTTTTAGTAGAGACAGGGTTTCACCATGTTGGCCAGGATGGTCTCGATCTCTTGACCTCATGATCCACCCACCTCGACCTCCCAAAGTGCTGGGATTACAGGCGTGAGCCACCGCACCCGGCCTTCAATAACACTTTCTTAAATCTAGAACAAGGGTCCAAAACAAGTGTGGCTTCTTTTCATATGGCCCCTAAGCTAAAAATGTGTTTTGTATTTTTAAAGGATTATTAAACAGAGGTGAATATGCAATGGAGACTGTATTCCATAAAACCTAAAACATTTATTGCTAACTACTCCTACAAAAAAAGGTTTGCAAACCCCTGGTCTCGATAAATAAGAAAACAGTAAGCCAAGACCTGATCTGTAGTGTTTTCTGATTTCTCTCTCCATGGCCAGCTTCCGGCTACCAACATGACAACATTCAACGTACGGTTGGGAAGAAGTGTGCAGTAGCACACCATTGTATAGTGTTTGGACTATAGAGAAAAAAATAACCCCTGTGGCATAGATAAAAGTGGTAAAACAATTAGGAACCAATCACTTTTGAATATTCATTGTATTTATTTTTAATTTAGTTTACCTAACTGTAAACTTATATAATTTAAAATGTAATAGCTATGTTTAACAACCAGTTTGCAAAGTTCCTGAAAATCTAACAATCATCTCAAATGAACTAGTGTGAGCCAACTCCAGCATACCATTCTGTAGAGATGCACCTACAGAGATAAAGGCTATATTTCATTTCTCATAGAGAAAAAACTCACTGTAGATAAGTTCATACTCCTAAAATAAAGAAACACAATTAGAAATAATATACTATTCCAATTGCAAGCAGATAAAACAAGCAGTAGAATAAAACCCCTAGGAGCTTCAGTGAATATAATTATCTAAGAAAACTACAAAACAGTTATACTTAAAGTGATTTTAAAAATCAAAACATAATAGGCCAGGTATGGTTGCTCATGCCTGTAACCCCAGCACTCTGGGAGGCTAGGGCAAGTGGATCACTTGAGTCCAGGAGTTCAAGACCTGCCTGGGCAACATAGTGAGACCCTGCCTCTTTCCGAGTGACAGAGTGAAGTATTGTCTCAAGAGAAAAAAAAAAACAAAACATAAGATATCATCAAAAAAGACCAGAGGAATAAACAAATAGAAACTTGAAATTTTTTTTTCTTGGATATTTAAAGATATAATGACAGAAGAACAAAAAATTGAGGTAATAATAATATATACTAATTATTGCACTAGGCTTTATATGGTGATGATCTAAAAAATTACTGAGGCATGACCCTAAAATAAACACCATCCCAAACTGCTATTCATCTGAAATCTTGCTTCTGTTTCTTATGGGATTCATTTCCCTCCTGATGGACAGGATTTTCAAATATTACTTTTCTGTATCATCAGCACTGCTGCCTCTCTAGAACTTTCCATCTTTCTGCTATTCCTCCTGATCTCAACTTGATTTTTATCTGACAAAAGAAGCCAGATAATAAAGGTTGCTGACTTTTATACAACTAAAACTTAACTATGTACATGACATATAATCAGAAAGGTAAACACAATAGACAAATAATCAAATTACCTAATCTGCTTCCATTTCTGGGCATTGCCATGAAGGAGCCGAGGCTCCCTCCAATAACACTGTGTGGTCTCCGCAATGGGGGCTTCTTGAAAGATCCTGTGTACTGGTGGAGGAAGGAATGCATACTGTGAGACGTTGGAGGCCTGCCATTCTTCACAATAGGCTCTGTGGTTCAAAGTATTCAAAAATCATTCCATCATCAGCCCAAGATCCGGGATCACGAGAAGGATTGAGAAAGCAAAACAAAAAGTTGTAACAAAGATTATTACAATTAGCCTCATTTCTTTGCTTACCTACACACAGTACTAAAATTAAAATAGTTTCTCTGAAAAAATATTCAAGAAAATACTTGAATATTTTAAGTTGGTCTAGTAACCATCCATTTCTTATATAATCAAAAGTGGGTAAGAACCACAAAACTACTAATATATCCCCATCAATTTCTGATCCATTTGTTTATTTTAGTATATCTCAAGATTGTCTCCATTCCACTCCTCCATTGACTGACTACCTGTGTTCTTTATAATTAAGCATGTTTGACTGGGCGCAGTGGCTTACACCTGTAATCCTAGCACTTTGGGAGGCCACGGCGGGCGATCACCTGAGGTCAGGAGTTTGAGACCAGCCTGACCAATATGGTGAAACCTCATCTCTACTAAAAATACAAAAATTAGCTGAGCGTGGTGGGGTGTGCCTGTAGTCCCAGCTACTTAGGAAGCTGAGACAGGAGAATTGCTTGAACCCGGGCAGTGGAGGCTGTCGTGAGCCGAGATCATGCCACTGCACTCCAGTATGGGCAACAGAGCCAGACTCCATCTCAAAAAGGAAAAAAAATTAAGCATGCTTTAGAATATAAAAGACATGGTCCCAGCCTAAAGGGATTTACACCCCTGTTTGCTGGACATTCAAAATGGTATGTCAATTAGTAAATAAAACAGAAGTACCTAAGTACACATCAATATAGAAGCTCTAAGTTTATTCCCCCAAATTTGGGATTAACATAAAGAGTATTTAAAAAATCATACTGATAACCAACAAGCAGAAACATTTAAAATATATATAATACTTAAAAGTTATTTAATTATACATCAGGGAACTGTTTTGCAATGTTTGTCGGGAATCACATGACTCCTTTCCACTTCCAAAGAAGAGCTCTGACACAGGTTAAAGATATAAGTCTTGTGATACACAATTAGTTTTCTATGTTAGAATAATGTTTCTACTGGTAGCAGCCAAGGAGTTTTAAAAAGAACTGGGCTGCTCTGAATACCTTCTCTTTTAAAATGAAGCCAACTCTTCTTCTGTAGCTAACAATCAGGCACAAGGATATCTCCTGATCAGGGGATTCCTGTACCTATAATGGTTTCTCAACCAAGGACAGGTTGACAGCAGGAGTTGGCTAGAAGCCTTAAAGTGAAAGGCTTCTCTCACAAGAAAATGTTAGGATCCACAGAACAAGACCAGGGTATGGGCTCCAGAAAAATGGGCCAAGAAGGCCATGTAGCCTGAGCCTCTACTAATACTGGCTGCCTGAAAGTGTACAGGAAGGATGGGGCACACGGGCCCAAAGGCTCACACAAGGTTCAATCTATCTAATCTGGGTCAAAGACCAGACTGGAGGCAGCGGCACATGCCTACCTAGTAATGCAGAACATGTGTCCAAAGTTTCCTATGATCTGTACATTCCCTGGCAGTACCTAACTGATAAAGAATTTGGAGCTCTTAAGTCTAGCAAAATAATCAATGATTCAATAATGAATGAGGAGGGGCTGTCTGATATAAATGCATAAATAAATAATTACAAACAATGTGGGATAATAGAGCCTAGAGCATACAATAAAATTTTTTTCCGCCAAGTGTGATGGCATGAACCTATAGTCCCAGCTACTTAGGAGGCTAGAGTGGGAGGATCACTTGTGCCCAGGAGTTTGAGGCTGTAGTGAGCTAAGACAATGTCACTGCATTCCAGCCTGCGCAGCAGAGTAAGATCCTGTCTCAAAATGAAAAGAAAAAGAAAAGAAAGAGGAAGATTTTTTTTTTATCTTTCTAGGTTATATTTCATGTGTGAAATATCACAATATTAAAATATTTAAGGCCAGGCACAGTGGCTCATGCCTGTAATCCTAGCACTTTGGGAGGCTAAGGCGGGCAGATCACGAGGCCAAGAGATCCAGACCATTCTGGCCAACATGGTGAAACCCCATCTCTACTAAAAATACAAAAATTAGCTGGGCATGTTGGCACGCGCCTGTGGTCCCAGCTACTCAGGAGGCTGAGGTAGGAGTACCACTTGAACCAGGGAGGTGGAGGTTGCAGTGAGTCAAGATCAGCCACTGCACTCCAAGTCTGGGTGACAGAGCAAGACTCCATCTTAAATAAATAAATAAATAAATAAATAAATAAATAAATAAATGCAAATATTTTGCCTACAGACAACATTTCAGTTGCTCTGTAAAGCTGTGCTAGGGAATATAGCTTAACTATTCTGGAAAACGTAGGGGGAAAAAATGAGATCAAAAGGACATACTATTTGATAAACACTATTCTACACACTGGGCATCAACTGGTAATAAAACAGACAAAATACTATTCTCAGAGTGCATAAAATCTAATGGGGAAAGACACACAAAATCAGGTAATGACAGGCTAAATGCAAAAGACTAAAAAAAATAGATGTGAAAATGAGTAGCTAGTTATTTTACACTGTATATTGAGAAAAGTTCTCCCTGCAGAGATATTTTTAACAGAAATTTAAATGCAAGAAAGAGCCAGTCAGGGAAGATGGGTAAGTTGTGGATAACAGGATATTCCAGATAGAGAAAAAGCTATTGCAAAAGCAGACATATGGCAGAGTTTGACTTGTCAGAACAGTGATCCTCAAACTTTAACATGCTTCAGAATCATCTTCGAGGATCTGTAAAATGTAAGACTGCTAGGTCTCACCCACAGACTTCCTGGTTCAGTAGGTCTCATGTGGAATCTAAAAATATGTGTTTGTAACAAATTCCAAGGTCCTGCTGACATTGCTGGTCCAGGGATCATACTCTGAAAACCACTGTGTTAGTGGACTAGAAAGAAGGCAAGTGTAGCTATAGTACCTAACCATGGGGGGAACAGTGATACTAGGTGAGACCAGAGACATACGGAGGGAACAAATCATTCAACATTTTATACATCACCACAGAAGTTTAAATTTTACTCTGATTGGAAACAGTTATGGTAGTTTTGAAGAAGAAGACTGATATGATCTGACTCGTGTTTCAAACATATCACTGTGTGCTTGGTGCAATGGCTCATGCCTGTAATCCCAGCACTTTCAGAGGCCGAGGAAAGCAGATCACTTGAGGTTAGGAGTTCAAGATCAGCCTGGCCAATATGGTGAAACCCCGTCTCTACTAAAAATGCAAAAAAATTAGCTGGGCTTGGTGGCGTACGCCTGTAGTCCCAGCTACTTGGGAGGCTGAGGCAGCAGAATTGATTGAACCCAGAAAGTGGAGGTTGAAGTGAGCCAAGATCATATCACTGCACTCCAACCTGGGCGAAAGAGACTGTCTCAAAAAAAAAAAAAAAAAAAAAAAAATCACTGTGAAGGGTTAGAGATAGTAGGAGGTAAGCAGGTAGGGATGACTACAACAGGTAACATGAGAGATCTCTTGTCATGATGAAATTAGTGCTTTATCGTGATTGCAGTGGTTATATGAATCAACACAGGTGAGAGGAAATGACACCAAGCTACATTTACACTTTATTCTTCAGTATCTACAGTTACATCAGATGCAACCAACTGGTGGGGAGGGAGACTGGGAGAAGGGTCCTTTCTATATTATCTTCATAACTTTGAATTTGTAATAGCTGAAAATAATTTTTTAAAAAATCACTTTGGTTGCTGTTGAAAAACAGGCAATAGGGAATCAAGAGCAAAAGGAGGAGGTTACTACAGTACCCTAAGCAACAAATTTTGGTGGTCTAGACTAGGGTATGTACTGAAGACGGAGGCAAGCAGGCAGATTTAGGACATATTACAAAGGCAGAAGCAACAGGCCAGCAGACACGGCTGCTAATTAGTTTCACACACCCTCCTACCACCCAGCTTTTAGCCAGCATTTATAGTAAAAACATCTATACAAACTTTTTCTTTTTTTCCAGGCAGGGTCTTGCTCTGTTGCATAGGCTGAAATGCAGTGGCGCTGTCACAGTTCACTGCAGCCTCAACCACCTGGGCTCATATGATCCTTCCACTTCATCCTCCCCACTATAGCTAGGAATACATGCACACACCATCACACATGGCTAATGTGTGTCGTTTCAGTAGAGACGGGGTTTTGCTATGTTGCCCAGCTAGTCTCAAACTTCTGGGCTCAAGTGATCCTCCCCACCTTGGCCTCCCAAAGCACTGCGATTACAATGAGCCATCACACCTAGCCCTAAAATATTTTTAAATCTTCAGATCAACTGTTAAAAATATATGATATATTAATGGACTATAATTGGAATTGCGTATCAGTCACATAGATCAGGGGTTCCCAGTCCCCGGGTCACAGACCAGTACTAGTCCATGGCCTGTTAGGAACCAGTCCACACAGCATGAGATGAGCAGTGGGCAAGTGAGCAAAGCTTCATATGTGGTATTTACAGTCACTCCCCATCGCTCACATTACTGCTTGGGCTTCACCTCCTGTCAAATCAGTGGTGGCACTGATTCTCATAGGAGTACTAACCCTGTTGTGAATTGTGCATGTGAGGGATCTAGGTTGCATGCTCCTTATGAGAATCTAATACCTGATGATCCGTCACTGTCTCCCATCACCCCCAGATGGGACCACCTAGTTGTAAGAAGACAAGTGCAGGGCTCCTACTGATTCCACATTATGGTGAGCTATATAATCATTTCATTATATATTACAATGTAATAACAACATAAATAAAGGGCACAATAACTGTAATATGCTTGAATCATCCTGAAACCATCCCCCCCAACCTCAGACTGTGGAAAAGTTGTCTTCCACAAAAATGATCCCTGATGCCAAAAGGTGGGGGACCACTGATACAGATGACTATCATAATGATGAGTTTGTAAAAGTTATTTATATGGTAAAAAATAGGAAGCTAGAATGGTGGGGGTGGGGGATGGGAAGGAGATAACAGGAAGGTGAAGGAGAGAAAAA